AACACGAAATTTCCTCTCTTTCGTTAATAATTGTTCACTTTCTCGGGGTGACCTTATAATTATGAAACGGTGCAAAAACCGATAAACTGTTCCAAAAAAGTTCAGAAAAATGCAGCTGCGGCTAGAAAACGGATACCTACGGATACGTGCTGGGGAATCCGTTCATGATGCTAGAAAAAATCCTTAACGATTGCTTTTTTTGAAAGTGCAAAATTTGAGGGTGACCTTATAATTATGAAACGCACTGTACACGAAAAAGACAAATTCGGTGGGGCGGTCAAATCACGAGAAGAGATGATGACAGATGACAACAAAACAGTCGAGCGGGCTTCTGTGGGATTCTCACCATCTAACGGTAGGCCTGCTGCGAGATGGGCGGATGTGCTTCTCGATCACGTAAAAACAGCCGCTTGCAGCAGCTGAATGATCTGCGAGATGGGCGGATGTGCTTCTCGATCACGTAAAAACAGCCGCTTGCAGCAGCTGAATGATTCCTCATGTTGCCATGTTCGTCGGATTCTAAGTCTACTGTGTATGGTGATCGCCATATACAGAAGCGAATAGTTTGTCGCTGGCGTTCACACAATGAATGAAGACGATTCGTATAAGGTAAGAAGAAGAACTCAGTGCATAAAAACTGTTACTTGTTGTCTTATGTGAAGTTGTCTTGATTTCAATTCAGTTGTGGCTCTAGTGCTTTAGCCGGAAACAGTTGATGATCCATATATTTTCACACTTTTATTCGGAAAAACCACGGTTATACAAAAAACATCTTTATTAGGTGATGAGAGCGAACACAAAGTTTATTGTTTTACCGAGTCCGTAGTAGCGGTGAAATCGAAACCGCTCCAAATTCCGCATATTATGAACACAATGAAACATGAGACAAGCCACAGTATGGAGATTACTGAAATTGTAGAGCGTAATCGAAGTTTTTTTTAGGGTTATCGGTGGACAACGACCACATGGCTGGGTGGGTAGGAGTGCTGCTCACCAATCGAAGCACAACAAAGTGTGCCTTCAATGCGCAGTAAATAATTCTGTGATTCGTAACGATCCTTTCTTCTCTTCCGCTTAGTCACTTTCTTGCCTTTTTTGCCTTTCTTCTTCTTTTTGCCTCTTCCTGTTGATCCGCTGGTCTGAAAGTATACAGTTGTCAATTTTATTTGATAAGTGTTCTCAGATCTCTATCATGGGGGTAATTGGGAAAGAGAAAGTGATAAGCTGCTCTAATCGGCACGTTGCACGGCTGTCGGCATGTGACGCAGTTCTACTTTGAGTCAGAAATGAAGAGGTTCTCGTGAAAGATCGGTAGAGACGAGCGTAGATTTCAGATGATGATATGTTTTCAAGTCGTAGCGCCTTCATCACTTAACATCACTCTTTATCTCACATCGTAGTCGTCAGTAGGAAGAGAGGTAGTCCGGCTGTGCACAAATTTGACCTTCATTACTTTTTTATTCTTAGTATTACACTATTAGATGATCGAATACAAATGGTAGCTTGCTCACTGTGCTATCTCCGCCTGATGTTGAAGAGCCTTTTTGTTTCTGGAGGCCGCTGATAAGGTCCATCATAGCTGAACCCGTGGCTTGTTTGTCACCTCCTGCTGGAGCATCCTCTACGTCTCTGGAATGACGCTATATCGAATGAATGTAGATGGTTGAATAAAAGCCTCCCCTGAGTGTACTGTGCCCATGAAACGAGAAAGACCAGGAGAAAATCGTCTATATTTGTCACAAGCTTTGGATTGGAAACTCACGTAAACGACACTTCATCTCTATCAGCACTGTCCCGTGACATAACGAATAACCTGCACAATGCTTTGAATTGTAGTCAGCATTAAGCCTACCCTCAAGACTCTCACTTACAGCGACGGTTAGGACCGTAAATAACCGATTCTGCGAGTGAAATGAATGTTACCACACTTAACCCGATTGTTTTGCCAGGTGTGATCTGAGCCAATGCATCTAAGATCCTTATATAATCAACGGTAACGGCTACTATAATCACCTTGTTTGTTCGGTTGGTAATGCTCCGTGATTTGGAAATCTGAGCCCCGTTTCACTTCCTCTGCTTACCATTCCGAAACGCTAGAAAATTTTAAAAGTGAGCGTAAAACTAGCAATGACACAACTGAAAGTGGAGCTGTTTTTGCAGATGCAGATGCAGATGGAGCTTCAGCTCTAGAGACGGCCACACTTGGCGCTGCCTCTTTAGAAAACGGCAATGATGAGCCGGTAGTATTGGGTCAATTTTTTTGCAAAGTTCAGTGGGGCCTAGCAAATCCATTAATAGACGTACCAACGAGCCTCCTGGGGTGATGCTTCGGGGCGAGCTATGTCATTGAAGTAGCCTTCAAGTGGGTCTTTAGACGATTAGAAAACTGGGTCTTTTGATGAAGAGTGAGCTCCAGCTAGTGCTATTTACAGAGGTGCTCTGTAGAGTACAGGCATAACAATTGTGTTCATTCCGAGCTCCGAACAGGGTGTGGGTACATTCACCCAGAACTGGGTGGACGCGGCAAATCGCGCGGCGAAATTCGTGGCGATTTAGACTTTAGCGCTCACCCTTGGTGCCCATATTTGAAATGGAGTTGATTAGCACGATCTCCTGACCATACTAAAGTACTCTACTTCAAGTTTGCGCCCCATTGATAGGTACCAAAGTGTCCTAAACGCCACGAATCTCGCCGCGCCATTCAGTTCTGGGTGAATGTTTCGTCCCCTCCTCCCCTCCTCCGAACAGATGATGTCTTTTTGGGCACGAACAGCTAACAAAGACAACAATTTCATGAACATATGCTCTCTTCGAGGTTTTCATCATAGTTCCTATAATTTGACAAGATATCTTTACTGCGGCACTGAATTTCACCACCTTCAACACTCGCAAGTGAAGGCGTTCCAAAAAAGCCGACTGTGTCAATGCTTAGACTCTGTCAATTACTCGAATGACTCGAGAAATGATACTCAGCGAGACTTCCTTTTTATATATAGGCGACATCTCAACTGCATAGTTCGTGGTCCTGTTCATCACCGACTACTCACCGACTACTTGAGCGGCAGCACTAATAAGTTGCACGCTACCAAGAAGTTGAATCGCAAGGAAGCAGGTGAGACAAGGATCACATTTTCTTTTCAATACATATGTATTAAAAAGGAAGCATATTTCATGCCCCACCTTTTTTCTGAGTAAGGGCTAACACCATATAGGGACAACGAAAATCGCTTAACGCCTGACGATTACGTACGTTCGAAATACTAGACGATAAAACGCGTGGTCCTTTTATTAAGGCATCACTTGCTGGAAACTTAAACGACCGCCTACTTCTAGAAATCTCGATGGATAACTACTTTAATATGAAACAAATTAGAACGTTTCGCTCTTACTTTGCCTCATTTCAGTAGATACCCTACTCTTCGAAAGCGGAACCTCGCGGCCTCACCAATCACGAAAGGGTGTGGCTCGGCATTTCCCTCACCAATCCCAGGATGGACCTTGACTGTTCAGCTGCTTATCCGAGATTGGGCTCAGTTCACATCACATCAGATAGAGGTAGAGAAATAAAACATGGGAGAGGAAAATTACCATATGGGATCACAGGTAGTACTCGTTCTACGAATATGTAAAAATACCCAAAAAACATCATTAAAAAACATTAAAAAAGGGGCACGAAAAAAGCCACACATGTGGCACTCTTGACTTAGGGACGTAGTAGAAACGTAAAATATAAGACGCGTTTCCCATTCTACATAGTGTTGCCTTTGAAATCTCTGCGCTTATCAAGATGAAAACTTGATCTCATTTTCATCTTTGCCCCTGCGCCTCACGTCCTGGATATGCTACCCATGAACACGGCTCACAAGTGTGGGGCCTCATAGTTTGTGCTTACTCAACGGCTCGCTTTATCAAACTCTTCAGTATAGCGCTCTAAAAAACAGCCAAACATGGAGTTCGAAACGCGCCACGCCCATGAGCCCTTGACTAGCTAGGAACTTTTCTAGCACAAAGCCCTGCAGCTGCAGCTGTTTCAACGAAAGCATCACTAAAACGCAATTGCAGGTCCTCAGAAAGAAAAGAAGAGAACGAGGAATACAGCCTTATCCTAAGGATTCTACGGAGTTGCCTTCTCATTCTGGAGATATACGCTTTCAGTCAGCTCCGCGACATTGTACGATCTATGAATGTGAACATCTAGATCTTGACGAAATGTCCTTAATACCTTAGAGCAGGTCATTTTGCATTTGACATTTTGAAGAAGATATCGCAAACTTCTTCAAAAACCTACCACTTCCTATTTCTATACATTTGGGAAATAGTCGTTTCAATGAAGGCCGCGTGTGTGCAGCTGAGGCGACAACTAGTCATTAAAGGGAGATGGGCTGTAGGAATGGTCCTCTGTAGTCGATTCGCCGCACGCGGCTGTCGCGGACCATCCCTTCGCCGTTACTACAACTCTAGCGTTCTTCATACAGCTCAATCGATATGCGATCATTATTTTAGGCATGATTCTACTGTTAATTCGCTTGTTCCTATATTTCTTACCTGCTGCTGCATTCTACTGTGTTTCTTCGCGCGCGGCGTACCTCTTGCCGCAACGCGATAAATTCGTTCCTACTACACCACACCCGTCATTATTATAAATCAGATTGAACTTTGCCGATTGTTCATCCTGCTCATCTGTGATAGATAGCAAATACAGGCGACAAAATATTATCGAGAAGCCTGATAGTTTTTATCGTTTCCAAGCTGTTTTCAACCATCAGTTCAGTTCATGTCTTGAAAAAATTCCTGCAGCAACACTAACGCATTTATCTAGGATTATGTCGAGGATCTCGATTTATGTATGTTTAACTGTTATGTTCTAATCATTCTCGTTTTGATTTTCTTGTTGCGGTTCTTCTTCTTTTTGATCTGTTCGATCTGATTGGATCCGATTTGCTACAGCTGCTACGACTGCCGCACCAATACCACTACCATCTTCGGATAACATTAACTTATACTGAAATAGATTTAATTCAGTATGAACATTGGGTCCTAAATTCGGTTTTGGATTAGGTTGTGGTTTCGAATTCAATTGAATATGTACTGCTGCTCTTATCGTCTCTTCCAGGGCTTCCATTCAAAGGTTTCTACGTTTTCTCGGCACTCCATCGCTTGCATGCATATTGGAAGGTGAGGCTTACATTTAAATTCAATCACAGGCCCGTAATAATGACCATTGACCGAACTGTAATATACGAAATGTCTTACCCTGAGGTTTTCATCGATAAGTTCAGCAATTTTGTCGTCGAGTAGTTGTGGGAACACAGGATGGAATCGGTATACCGATCCGTCTATTCCAACCGTAACAAGCGGACGTTCAACTCTATTGATGAGCGTTGCAATGCCAGCTGCCAGCAAATGCGCCGCCCTGGAAAAGTTTTCATCAGCTCACAATGTATCCTGGAAATAAACCCTGCACTGAGCGTACCACAAGCTTTGCAAAAATTTATAAGTGGCCCCTTGGAAGGCATGCCCCACGTTAATTTTGAGGTATTTTTTCCAAGTTTGATGACGGAAGTGTTGATGCACAAGTGGATCGATGACGAAGAATGTGCGAAAATCCGCAGAATATGCAAAGTACAAGGGCTCCTACAGCTACTCAGCAGGGTGTTGTACGAGATTATGACGACGGAGGTGATATGGAAAGAGTATATGGACTAGATTTCAGTCACGTTCAATTAAGTAAAGATGGCTACAGTGAACAAGAAATGTCGAACATCGCTTCCCACATGGGTCAGAACTCTCAACTTGCATATGTGCTCCATTGTGAACGGTGCAGCCTCTTTGAAGCCTTCAAAACACGGCTACTCCCGGGCTTGGTATACGATACGGACCACTTCTCAGCCCTTTTTACGCCCTATCTATGTCACTCTTTGACTGGACGCGGCACATATGTTGCAATGCTATCATTTCCATAGAGTTGCAGTTAGTGCGAACAAGTAAAGGCTTCGAGAATTTGCTCACTAAGTTAACTGAGTGAGATGGAAGATTTAATGGTTTCCGAAACCCTATAGGATGGATATAGACTCCTTCAGATACAATATGTGCCGCTGTCAGGTCGAGAAATGTTCTGAATAAAACATAATACGTGACCATACATTGTATCGTGTGAATGCCACACCCACAGCGGACAAGTCTCAATGGTGTTGTAGGGGCTGCACTATGTAGCTAGAGGGACTTCCATGTTGAAAATTCAAACAACGTCATGATCCATGTCGATGGAGCAAGGCAGTTTTCGGCAATTTTGACTCGATGTAGTCAGCTTTTTGCGCGAATGCAACAGGTGAAAACTCGTCCGATTAGCCTTCCATGCCATTTCACTCATGGTAATCTCGTGCAACCTCAATTTCCACTACTTTTGGAGAGCCTTATTTTCGTGAAGTAGGTGGATTCTCTCGCTTTCTTCTCCACCGATGCACTACTCTACATTAATGCCTCCTCTTCTCAAATCAAAATGGGTACACAAAAATTATTGTTAACTGTGCCTTTGGGCATTTGGGAGAATTGTTAACTGCCTAGCTCATTATTTTTCTCCAAAACGTCTGGCTATCAAAGTGGGGAAATTGGTGAAGAGGATAACTCTTTAAGCAACTATAGGAAGCCCTTCGTTATCGATGGTTCTTCAGACGAAATAAACATCTTTTTAGATGAAAAGGTACCTGGTAGTGATTATATTGCACACATAAGCAACGTTAGCACAATCCGCTCGTGTTATTTTATTGAATCCGAGCTCTCCAAGAATCTTTTCTGTGTTTTGAAACGTCTTCTTTTCTTCATCTCCAGCAAGATCGCTATAGAGGTCTTGATCGCTTTGCATACATTAAACATGTATTAGAATGAAAATGTGTTCTAATGTTCGACATTATGTGGAAGCTGATGTCCCTGTGTGACGCATTTTAGAAATAGGACTATTCTGAAATGTTACTACTGGCATATCAAAGAGTATATCAGACAAAACCGGTTTCTTAGGTGAAAAGGAGCCTGCTTCCTTCCACCAGGTGTAAAAGAGCTGTTTTATGACCATACGTTGGCTGAAGACTGCATTCATTCCATTGCCTTTTCAGCCACAATCCTACCGCAACTCCTGACTCCCTACAAGACGAGCTAACTGCGCGCCACTCCCTAGCTTCCTAGTTCAGGACGTTTCTAGTGTAGATCATTGAATTCTGATTTCAGCTCCGTCCTACACGTTGCGCTACCCACGATACCCTCTCCAATGCTAGGCGCGGTTTCAACGTCGAGAATGACCAGAGAAGATTTGAGTGAGGCTTCACATCGGGACTGACGGAAAGGAATGCAATAAACAGGGTGTGGGACTATCTGAGTCCACCGTGTCGAAGAAAAACCATGTAACATAACTTGCAGTTCCACAAGCCCTTCTGTTTTGCTGGACGTCGGGGTCACGAGGTGGACAGAACGATAATGCAATACAATAATGTGTTAAACTTGAACGCCCGACTGACATCGCTCTTATTTGAAGGTTTTACAATGGACAGGACCATCATCTCCTCAACTCCAGATTCTACTTAGGTAGAGAGCTGCGGATCCCCACGACAGTACCAGGAAAGCGAAGATTTTACAAGTTACCAGAGACGACTGACTTTCATTTGATGCTCCAGCGTGAAAATGCAAGAGCTGCAGGCTAATATTAATGAAATTCCGAATTGTGAAGCAGTCTAGAGAAGCGATAAATGAAAATCTGAAGTGAGTAAGAGCCGTCCTTACCAAAGCAGCCGAAATAGCATTCAAAATATGCCCACGAGTTTCGCCAATCTCAAAGCTATGATCACTTGTCTCGTATCTGCCTGAGTGAATGAATGCTCGCATCCGCCTAATAAGCAAGCGATGATAAACGGAAAGGCAGATGATATAGGTGCTTTCAACGGGATTGGTAGAAGTCCGCCGAATATTATATCGTTGGTGCCGGAAAACAGTAGAAGGATAAATGGTAAAGGAATTAGAGTAGAGCTCGATGCGCTCTCACAAGTCTTACTCCCACGAACCCATC